CAAACCGCACTAGGGATTAGTTCCGTATTCATGCAGTAGGTGGGAATAGACGAAGAGACAGATCTAACAACAGTAAGACGAGCAGCAAAGGAGAGCCTTTTCGCTTTCCAGGGTGTCAGCTTCTTCTGGAGCCGAAGAAGTAAACTCTGGTAGCGGCTTTGAGTTACCCTCCCATGGATAGTGTGGAGCCCCAGATACTTCCCTAGCTCCGTCCTCAAAGGAATTCCTGCTTGCCTGCTAAAATGAGCTGCCTTCTGACGGTCTACATTGGGCGACACGTATAGCAGGGATTTGCTGTAATTCACTCTTTGGCCAGAGCTGAAGCAGAAGTCATCTAAACATTGTCGGATGATCCTGATCTGTCTCGTCTCTGCTTCTGCAAACAACAAAAGATCATCTGCAAAAAAGAGGTGAGTAAGCGGTGGTCCTCCCCTAGTCAGATGAATGGGTTTCCATCTATTGTTATTCACTGCCTCATCTATTAAGTGGGAAAGACGTTCCATGCACAAAACAAAAAGGTAGGGAGAGAGAGGGTCTCCCTGGCGGACTCCCCGAGTTGGGAGCAGCGGTTGTGAAAGCTCCCCATTCCAAAGAATTCTCATCCGATTCTGCTCCACACAGTACATGATACAGTTAATCCACGAACTAGGAAGCCCCACTTCTTTGAGAGTGTCACGGAGAAAGTCCCATCTCAACATATCATAAGCCTTCTCTAGATCAATTTTGAGGATGATCCCTCCCTTCTTCCCTTTCCTCTTCTCTAGAGTATGGATGACTTCCTGCACCACGATGATATTGTCTGTAGTCTGTCTCCCTGGGATGAAACTGCTTTGCCTAGGTGAGACTAGCTTCCTCATGATCGGCTTCAGCCTGCTAGTCATTGCCTTCGTGATGGCCTTCAGACTGACATTGTTGAGGGATGTAGGCCGAAGTTGAGAAACGAGCTCCGGACTGTCCACCTTCGGGATGAGAACCACTGTAGATTCCAAGACTGCTTCCGGGAGAGTACCTGCAGAGAAGAAGTTAAGAGCCAAATCTGCTAGAGCCTTACCTACCACCCGCCACATTTGTTGATAAAAGACCGCCTGGAAACCATCCGGTCCAGGAGCTTGGTATGGTTTCATATCAAAAATGGCCCTGTGGATATCGGTGATGGTAAAGGGTCGCAGAAGCATCATCAACTCTGCCTGTTCAATCCTGGGAAAGACATTTTTGGGTAATCTGTCCTCATAGCCTGAATCATCCTGCAAATACAGCTGAGCCAGAGAGTCAAAAACAAGGGCAGCAAGCTCCTGAGGCTCCTCAACCCAATTGCCATTTGCATCCCGGAGCATCAAGATTTTGTTGCGCCGTCTCCGCCTGTTGACCTGTTGATGGAAGTAGGCTGTGTTCCTCTCCCCCAATTTCACCCACTGCTCCCTTGACCGCTGAAACCAGAAAAGTTCCTCTTGCTCAAGCACTTTATCGAGCTCCGCCTCCAACTTAGCATGGAGCTTGGCCAAAGCCGGAGTGAAGGAACTGGAAAGTCGGGCTTCAACCCCTTGCAATCTGGCCAACAGTCTTTTTTTCTTTTGCTGGATGTTACCAAACACATTCACACTCCACTCCCTGAGTTTCTCTGCCAAAGAGCCAAGAGCCTGAGGTAGCTGACTTTCTTCTTCCCAAGCACCTGCAACAAAATTTTGGAAGTCACTATGGGTAAGCCAAGCAGCCTCAAGTCTAAAAGGACGAGGATGAGAAGGAGACGGCTCCTGGGTAGCCACAGTGGTGAGGATAGGGTGGTGGTCGGACTGAAGGCGGGGGAGATGTGACACCGTAGTGTTGGGGAAGAACGCATTTCATTGCAGATTGCAAAGACTTCTATCCAACCCACTAGCCTTGTGGGAATGGATTGAGTCTCCCCTTGTCCACGTGAATCTCAAACCCGAAAATCCCAAATCAATGAGCTCGGCCCTGTTGATCCTCTCGTTGAACTTCCGGCACCTCCTAGAAGTTGCTGCCGAGGATGGCCCTGTCTTCTGCTCGAGGCAACGGATGGCGTTGAAGTCCCCCGTGAGAATCCATGGTTCATCAACCTTCTCACTCTGCTCGATAAGGTTATCCCAGAGATACCGTTGTAAGTACTGGCGGGGAGAGGCGTAGATCGCGGTCAGCACCCAGGAACGACACCCATTCTGACGAACACGGACGGAAATGTGTTGGTTGCAGGCCGAAAGGAGTTCCAAAGAGAATCTCCCACCATCCCAGCAAATCCAAATCCCGCCTTTGCGCCCATCAGCATCCACTCTAATGGAGTTGGGGAACCCGATTTGTCACACACTGAATTAGCCGAGTCCCCGCTGATTTGGGGTTCCAGGAGAATCACGAAGTCCGGCCGATGCTGGCGAATGCTGAGTTTCAAAGCTCTAGCAAAAGCTTTGCTACCTGCCCCACCTACATTCCAAGAAAGCATTTTAAATATGGGTTTACAAGACATGGAAAAAAATAAAGCAAGAGATGAAGGAAGAAGGGCAAGAAAAGAGCAGAGTCGCAGGCTGTGGGCGAGCATCGACGAGCGGGAGCGGAACACCAATTAAACCGTTGGGAGAGACGGCTCTCCAGTTGGTTCTCCGTGGCGCATTTCCAGGACCGGGGCGTCCCCAGAAACCTTCCCCGTCGGGGTTCTCGTAGGAAGATGAGCTGCCTCCGTCCAGGCCGAGATCTCCTCTAGAGTGAGCGAGGCCATCCGGGTCCTCGATTTTGATTTCTTCTCTTTCATCGGCGACCAGAGCTGCAGCGGACAAATAGAATTTAACTTCGCAGGAGACCCTTTCTTCATTCGCCCCTTTGAAGTCTTCCTTCCCTTCGTCCTGTTCGCCGTTGACGGAGGTGTCTGTTCTGACCGTCGAGGAGGCGCTTCATTTTGTGGAGGAACTTGCACAACTTCCATCACAGTCCCATTTGGGCCCGTGGTCACCAAAGTTGGGGGAGGGGTGAAGGAGGTGGAATGTTTAGCATTTTGGGCTTGAGGCCCGGCTGAAGAAGCTCCATGAGGCCCACTAGTCATAATCGGGGGAGATTCAGAATGTATAGCCGACGTGGACGCCTTCAGAGCATCCGATTTGGGCTTGAGCCCTTTTTTAGTCATAAGTCCCACCGATGGGCCTGGTCCAAGGAGCCCTTTTCCTGCCGTTGGCTCTTCCTCCCTCATAATGCCTTTACCATTCCTTTTCTCCGCCCCATTTTGAATTGCTCCAATCCCTTTCCTTTCTTGACCGGAAATCCGCTGGCTAGGAGGTGAGCTCTGTTGATCCAGAGAAGGTAAAGAATCCCTTGTCTCTTTGCTCTTCGTTCCATTCTTTCCATTTTTGGGGATAATCGACTGAATTTTGGCCCCGGAATCTCTATGCTTTCCTTTATTAATCGTCTCCCGCTGATTCCGCCGACCTTTACGCGATACTAGCATCCAAGGCCCAAAGCCTGCATTAGTCTCCGACGTCTCCTCCGACGAAAGGTCTTGCTTATCCCCGCCGGCGGACCCGATCAACTCCGGGGCCGACGCTGGTCGGAGCAGGGGGCAGGCAGTAGAAGCATGGCCGATCTTCCCACATTCGAAGCAAACGACGGGTAGATTCTCATAAACAACCGGTTGCCAATCATCATCTAACCATATTCTTGGAACAAGAGGCCTTGAGATATCCACTTCTACAGCGAGACGAGCAAACTTCGCCCTTTGTTGAGTAAGGGTGTGGTAATCCAGTTTAATCGTGCGTCCGATCAGATTCCCCAGGCTAGTTAGAACCTCTTTGTGGTAAAAATGAATGTTGAGCTCAGGCAGATGGACCCAAACTATCATCGTCTTTGGGAGAGGATCTGACACTTTGAAACGAGGCGTCCACTGCTGCACTGCGATGTAATGATCAAAGATCATCCAGGGACCATCCGTGAGAGCTTTGAAATAGTCCTGTTCGTTGCTAAGTTTCACCAAATAACAAGCTTCATCGAGATCCCTGATTTCCATTACCCCTGTTGGTCGCCATAAAGCTCTAAGGCGAGAGCACAGAGTATGGAAACCAATTTTGATACCTAACAGGCGAACCACCAGAGTGCGATGCCAAGGAGCGCATAGCCTGTTCTTGAACTCCGACGAAATACTCAAGGCCGGTTCGCCATTACGCTCTCCGGGAATTAAATCATGTTCGCCGACCGGAGTCCATTGAATCGCCAACGGTTGTGACGTCGGGACGAGTTGCCCACCTGTGAGCGCACTAGCGTAGGAAAAGGGGTGTGTCTGCGCCGTCGAGGCCTGAGGAGGCGGCGGAGTCGTGAGCATCATTTGATTACCGGCGCTAGCGTTTGTCTCTGCTGCGACTGAGATCGCCCCCAAAACGGCGTCCCCGGCGGATGAATCCACCACCATCGCTGCCGTGGAGGCGGCCTCTTTTGTTGCTGTGGACACGACGATAGCAGGGGTTTCATTCTGGATCTGACCCGTGTCCGGCGGGCGCCCCGTTGGTGAGAAGGCCGGTGCCGGGGAGGGATCCACACCGAGAGCAGTTGAGAGCATTTTTTTCTATATGGAAAAAGTCTCCTCAATATCCCTTGGAAGGTTATCTTCCCTAGAAATTTATTAGTTTCCAAGAACATAACAAACAAAAAAGGCCCGGAGGAGAAATCAGCTGTGGAACAGAATACTCTACATAATGATATGATAAGATGAATGCATCAGATCTATGTTTGAGACATAACTTAGGCCTATCAACTCCGAGAACAACAGGCTGAATTTCAAATGAGAACACAAAACTTTAAACTAAACATTGTAGATTCTAATTTTTCACTAATTGTCTTATGAATACTAATGCTAAACCCTTATCATTTCTAGCAAATCCTAAGTTTTTGTCATGAACAATAAAAATGAAGGTATCTCACAGAGAGTGAGCCAACCCATTGTTTCCCAAAACCGAAGCAGGAAACTTTGGGCATTCTCATTTAAAAAGAACACCAAAAGGAAACACATGTTTATTTTGTGAGACAATTTATCCTGCTGCCACTCACCAATACAAACTAAAAAAGCACATCTCATGAGAATATGTAAAGCATGGTAAGGCTTATCCCACCACTGCTAATGTCACAGTCTGCGCCAGTCATGACACCTTCCAAATTGAAAGCTGAAGGAAAGAGCAAAGTACCAACTTGCACGCCACGACGAAGGGAGACAGTGCAAGTGGCACCAGCAAATCCGACGATGGCTAAAGCCGAAAGCTTGATTAGAAAACTCAAAAGCGAAAATAGGGGTGGTGGGATCCTGGGACGAAGAGGGGCAACCCGGTCTCCCGAAAACAGGGGCGGAGAGAATAGTAGGAGAACATCGAATGTGGGGTTTCCAAAGGGTAACATTAGTGCGACATGCCTGTAATTCAAACATGGAGAATAGAATACAAAGAACAAAACAAAAAATGAAACACAACAAAAAAGGAACAATAAGAAACTGAACATAAAAGAATAGAAAAATGAACCACGATGGAAATCAACAACAAATAAAGCCCGCAAAGGAAAAAGGTTAGATAAAATCGACTGAAGGTGAGCGAATGACATGCCCACAGTTCATAGCACCGGATCTGAACATCCCGACAACAGATGAAGTTGTGACTGGTTAGCGAGCCTCCTTTGTCCTTTGTTCCTCTCCAACCAGAATTGCGAACTATTCGACGTCAAAATCGAGCGCGTGGCCCTCTAGCTGGTTCCCCTTTTGCTGTTGCTCGGTTGCCATTCACTCAGTCTTGGAGAATAGCGTCGTCGACTATATCCATCAACAGGGAGCAATCCAGAACGGGAACTGGAGAATCCGAGTAGAGAAGGCCCAAATAGGCGAGGTCACACAAAAGAGATATTTAATTTGCTCACCGACGAACCAAAATTGGAATCCCCACCTCTGGCCGTCGCAACTCAGAAACCTAGATCTTCCCCTTTCGTCGCCTGATACCCGAGTTTCCTTTGCCGACGAAAAAAACAAAGGAACTGATGCGAAGGGGAAGAGGAAGGAGCTTTGCCTCTGGATTTTGTTGTTTTGCAAATAAATACAAATTAAATGAGAACGTGGGCCTGGAAGGAGAAAAAGGTGGGTAGTTGACAGTTTTTTGGTTCTGAAATCAGGCGGGACTTTTTTTTTCCGCTTAACACTCTGCCACATCAGCTTCCTAAAATCACTCTATGGCCAGGAAATTTTGAATGGGGGATGCAGTTTTACTTTTCAGCTATAAATTATACTGTTGATATATTTATTTACCCTCCTACCAAAGAACAATGACAAAGGAAGTGTTCCCCCTAGACACTTCAAGGCCTGGTGTTTAACTGTGGGGAAACAACAAAATATTTTGACAAAACAACTCAGGAGCAGCAAGTTCTGGGAATGTGTACACTCCGTTCGGCGGAGGGGGGAGACTCTGCCCAGCTTGCTAGAGTTGAACTCTTTGTGTTCCTTCGTCATTTAGTCACTCGTTTCAGGTAAATCGAATCTTAATACACATCTATATTATAGTTATTTTCATTTCCAATGTGGGTTTAAGGTGTTTTACCTTTGCCTGGGGATTCTTTTTTCTGGTTGTGCAGTTGGGAGCCGGCTGAGGAAGATAAGCTGGTTTTCTTTCCAACAATCCCAACACAGAAGCGGTACCCTATCAATGTCCGGCGACGAGATCAGGAACAAGCAGTGTAGAACCCTAAATCAATCAATCATCATCATTATCGCCAATTTCTTAAAGAAACCATTTGCAGTGGAATATAAAAACAGCAGTTGAGGGGAAATGGGATTCATTATCCAAGTGCCCTACAAGCCGCTGGCAATTGGATGGCTCCACTTCTAAAGGTTACAAAAGGCAATGATAATGATTCTAGGCTAAAGGGGAGGAGTGGGGAATGCAGTTAAGACACCTCCAGAACTGCCCTTAAGAAATAAATATCATGATTGAGTAATCATATGGATCAACGGCGTTCTCTTCACACATCAACATGATCATATATTTGAAAAGTGACATTGAGTAATGATTAATAATACAATAAGGCATCCTGACCTGCATCAGCTTCTTCGGGGCATCCCCTCGAAAGGATCTTCCAGATTGCGTCTGTCAGGAAAGAGAGCACAGAGAACAGAGTAACATATTTTCTGCATTGCGCCTATTGGTATGTGGCCATAATATCAGAAGTTCAGAACACAAGTATCAAAAGCGTGAAATACAACATTTGCACCTTGGCTTCTATTCTGTGAATGCTGCAGCCTGAGACAAAGACATGTATATTCAGTTCAGCCTCACAGCTACTACACGGCTCAGTTATTTACCGCTTCCCTGAGCTCTCAAGCTAGACTCTACAACCTTTACTTTCTTTGCGTTTTCGGAATTAATAAGCGAAAGCTTAGCCAGTGAAGATTTTAGTTGGGACATTTGGGCATCCAGGGCATGGCTCCTCCCTGGTATTTTCCTCCGCTGGTTAGAGATGACGTCTTTTGAAGACTGTGTCGTATGCCTTCTCTGCCGAGCTTTTAGTGTCTCAATGGACGAATGCAATGCATCCAATTCAACCCCCGTAAGTTGGTCTGCAATTATAGTCAATTATAACACTTGAGTGCAGGCAGTTGAAATTGTTTCTCATTTATTCGAATTTCCACAAACGAACTTTATTAACGGATGTAGAATGATTACCAAGTTCAGACTTGAACTTCCGGTCAGCTCTAGACATAGGCTTCTTGTGAACTCCGGGAAGATTCCTCAAGTCCTTCAGACGCTGTTCCAGAGTATGGTGCTGATGAATTGCATGCTTAATCCTATAATCCAAACCAGCCTGTTTGTCCTTCACTCTCACAAGTTTCTCCTGAGCCTCGCTGAGACGAGCCAGTTGGTCATCAATGATTCTCTTCATCTGTGGCCCATGATGCTCCAGCTCGAAGTAAACCTGCAGGAAAAGAGGAAGATGAAATATGTTAAGCTATTAAATACCATGATTGAAGATAATCATACTGTTCATTGCAGAATAACAGTTTATTTTGAGAAGCTCTAGAATAAGGGTGTACATGGTCCGGTCCGGAACAGAATCCAGCCAAATCAACGTAGCACCGGCACAGGGGGAAAAAGAAAAAAGAGAAAATGAGGACCAGAATAGGATTGGGTCAAAAGCACATTCGATTCGAAGCAGCCTCTATCTCTCTCGATTCAAGCTGCATTTTTTTACTTTAGAAGGATCCATGGAATATAGAATGAACCGCATTGTAATTGGTTCAACCCAATTCTGACCCCACAAACCAATTTGGTCTGATTTAGTTGGGTGTGAAATTAAACATTTTGTGTATTCCTATTATTATAGGTTTAACAGGGACATAAAAAGAGCAGACGTCGTCACCTTATGGGCATACTCGACATAATTTTCATGGAACAGCTTGAAGTACTGATGAAGCATCGACCGGCCTTCTATACAGTCAGCAGCAACGGATCGAAGATTTGGTGACACCTGAGGAACAGGAACCACCTTGGGACCAGCAAGTAGTTCTTTGCTTATGATATCTGGAGCATTATTCATATCCTTCCGTTCTTCATCCTTAGCATAGTAGTCCGTAGCAACTTGCAGGGGAAGTAACAAATCCCATGTCTTCATTTCTAGCACGATGCATTCTTGAGTGGACGTGGTCCCCACAATCCATGAATACCCAAATGAATCAGACAACGCCACAAAACCACAGAGTGGAGACACTGATCTAGTATTGTCCACCTGGCATGTACTCAGCACAGGATGGACAGACGGAGCCCTGACAGTTTCATCCTTCCCACTGGACTGATTGGTGAATGGGAGAAAATGCAACACAATCGAGTCTACCCCACCTTCATGAAGGCAGTAGATTCTTTCCGGCAAGAGTGGATCGGCAAACATGAGAATATGGTAACCACTCTCTCTTTTCTGGGGCAAGGACAAATCCACAATTGCGAGTCTCAACAGAGGTGGCGGGTGACCCAACCAAACCGTCTGGTCAAGTGGTTCATCGAGCTTAACAACAGGGAGGTGGTGAGCGATTGATTCACAGATCATAGCAAGACCAAGAACTTGGTGGTCCTGGGGATTAACACGGAGACGAGGTGCACTACCGAGAGTCCAGAGTGGCTGGATCTCATCAGCTAAGGCATCTATCTGTAACTGGCCACCAGTCCAGGCAGTAACCAGAACCGAGTCTTTGCTGACTAGATTATAGAGAAAACCGATGGCACGCCCTTCGCTCACCCCAGTGGAAACTGCAAAGTCTTCATTAGCCCTATTTCTCTGAATTCTCTGAAGTGGCCCCTGAAAGAATACAGAAAAACTATCATAGTGGAAAGAAAAACTATCATAGTGGAATCTGTTACAGTGTTGAATCCAGCGTCATATAGTTCATAAGTGGAAAAACTGGCATAAAACTGTCCAGAACGAAGTATTCTTGTCCGCTGAAGATGTCACAGTTATATTTTCCTGTAAAAGCTTGTTAAGTGATCATACAATCAGATGGTGCCAACTGCCAACCGCAGTAACTAGTTGCGCGACCATGGAGATTAAATACAAGACTTGCTAAACCAGATAGTATCCAAGTTCACACTATCTGTTAATAGTATCTTTGATATTGCATACTTCCAGGCTTCTCAAACACACTGGAGTAAACAAATGAAGAAAGTGATGGATATGATTCCATGGTCAAAAGATTTATGCTGGCTGTATGTTCATAATTGCTATGCAATTTTTGCATTCTCATATATGATTATAAACAGAATAAATGGTGAGCATTTAGTTTATGCAAATTTAATTTCCTGTATGAAAGTAAGAAGTTCACTAAAACAATTGGAAAATAGAATCCATATATTGGGTTGTACCTGCAAGCAGAGTGATGTATCAAATAAAGCATGGGCTTGAGCTTTCACTGCAGAAATGTTTTCTCTGTCCCCTGCTTCTGAACTTAACTCTGGAAATGTAGCTTCTAACCAAGAGACTGCCCGACTAGAGTTGCTAACTGCAGTTGGATTTGTTGATTCCAAACCCAGTGTGTTGGCATCGTTATATATCTCCAAAACTGAGTCCCACTTGTAGACACTACGTGCAGAGGCATTTGGTTTAGAACGCATAAGAGAACAGTTGAAACCGGCGAAAGGAAATACGAGAATCATTTTAGTAGTATTTAAAGCAGCATATTCTATATGGCAAATCATAGAGTGTACGATGCAAGCAAATAAAGCAAATCTAGACTTTGTTGTCACTTTTCCCCCCATTCTGTGAATGATAAGTAGCTTCAAATCATGGCAAACTTGGCAAGTAATTCTCACGAAAGTAACCGAGTCTTAAACCAAAGTAACTGATGAAGATGTGAGTTATACCTCCCAAATGGAACAATTGGGCAGAGAATGTAAATAGAGCCATCACTGTAACATACAAACACCTGCAAAACGGACATAAAGAAGGGAAAACATAAGAGGTCGTCTGGAATCTAACATTAAGATCATGCTTGTATTTCACTAATGCATACCTTTGAAAAAAGCCAATTGTACAAATAAGTTAATTGTAAAAGTACACCGATATTCAATTAAAAAAAAGTACACCACTTCGTATTTGTAATATTGAGTTAACAATCTACCCTTTTGACGTCAATGACAACTTTTGAGGAAGAAAGGTAAAGTAATAGACAGAAGAAAAAGAAAAATCACACTATAAGCTATTCATATCTTAGCGTGATATTGATGTATCGCAAATAAATCATTCTATTTCAAATGAATGTGCTACAGATGCTATTGTCAAAAACGATCTGGTATCTAGAATAATATGTACCTCATAATACACCATTTAAAATTACAAGTTAAACGGCCCCTAAAATGTAAGTTGCTATGACACATGTATTTTGCATCCTCCATCATTACTACTTTTTTTTACCTGAAACAAGCTAATCAAGATAATACACGGCAAGCCGATTCGCAAGCAACAAAGAAATACTTAGGTGGGCGCTAGATTGATGTTGCATTATATATGAACAGCAACCATATTCCATATGATCAAGCTGAAAAGGTAGCACGTGAAGTAGCATAACATCTCATCATATGTAACAAATAAACGCATAACACCAAGCCCAGAAGAAGAAAAAAACATCATACGTATTGATCCAAGTGTACTTACAGCAAATCTGTCCCACAAGTGATCTCCACCAAACGAAAAATCAACAGGACACAAGGAAGCAGCTTTCCTTGATCTACCAGGTTGAAGAGGCTGTAAATAATATTCCTGCTCTGGTTGCAGGACATCCGCAGACAAATTGAAAATTCTAGCAAGAAAAGAAGGGTAGAATTCAGCTAGCTTTTATTCACAGCTTGCAATCAAATTCAGAAGCGAGAGAAAGCAATGCCAGACCACAGGCTATCAGAACAACAACAAAATATGAAGAATATTACATTGCAGATTATGCAGTAATAAGCTAATGAAAACATATCAATAATAACAGTCACACATTACTTTCGTTGTCTATCTAATGAGTACAAGAAATTTATTCTTGATCACGCCGAAAAAAATAAAAACACAGGTCTCTCCTTTCAGAGAATACACTTGTGACTTGTGAGTTGTAATTGGTCTTTTAACTTTCCTTAATGAATATAGACGAGGGAGAGCACCCATTCACTCCTAAAAACTGAGAAAAAGATAAAGATGGTACCTGAACACCGAATCAGATGAAAGAACTCCTAAATGCGTCTCACTGCAAGGGTGCCAAGAAACTTGTAGAGTGCGTATAACATTACTTTCATCAAAATATATCTGGGAACCGATTGAGACAGTCCTACATAACGAGTCCAAAACAAATTTGAACCTTTTAGTAAACACAGATTTGACAAACTGAAGGTAAGCCAGGAAACTTAATCATCATAACATTGTAGTTGCTCAATGAACAACAACATCAGGTCTGAAGGAAAAAATCACACTATTAATTCCACCTGTACCTGCATGTAATGGTGTTATCCCTAGCAGAACTGCGTCCATAAAGGTACATAACGCATATGCCATCCGAACCAGCAAGAACCAAAGCTGAACCATTTCTATTAATGGAGATCTTGTTAACCACAAAGCCAATCTTCACATCTGCTACCAATACCTAGTACCACAAACAATGACTTCCCTCGTTAGCTGCTTTAAGGCTAATAAACACCTACTCATATACTAATTGAAACATAGAACTACTGAAGACTAAGTCACGTGAAAACCAGAATGTTTCTCAGTTAGGGATTCCAAATTCTTGCACAAAACTAAGAGCAACTAATCGAATTGAGAATTCAGCTCATTCTCATCCTAAAGTTTTTCGCTCACTCATTCATAAACGAAACCGCAAGTCGAACGTTTCCGATTAGGGATTGAAAACTTGGGGTTTAGCGGGAAGTACCTTGGACGGAGAAGCAGCGAGCACGGAAGTAGGTTCCGGTTCGCCCAGTCGGATAGAAACTCGGTGGAGGTACTGCTTGCTTGAATCCCAATAGTACAACCTGGAGGCACCGTCCCAAGCGAGCAGATTCCTCGGTAACGGATCCTCAGCCGCCGCTGCTCCGACGTTCTCGGCGGAAGTGAATACGGGATGCTTCTGGAGCGGAATCCACTGGACATTTTCTTTGGGAGTCGGAGTTCGCCGGGAAGAAGAATCCGGCGTGTCAGAGTCATCCAAGTCGAGGTTGAACCTCATTTCGGATTGCTTCTGTTGAAATTATCTCCGTTTCACAGACTCGAATCGCCGATTCCTCCTTTCAGAATAGCTTTGTGCCGGCGGTGCGCTCCAACGGTAGAGAGCGGGAGGAGAAGGGCCGAAGCCGACTTTTGATTCTGGTAGCTACAATGTGGGCTTTTCTGAATGGGCTTCATCAGCCCATTAACTTATGTAAAAACACCCCTTCAACATTGGCCTTCTGACCCATGTTCATGTGGCCTGTCTTTTCATATGCATACTGAAAGTCTGAAACCCCCCCAACATGTTTTATGCAAATTTCTTTCATCATTGTGGTATGAGTTGGTTAGCTACATAATACATAATTACATATACTAAATTAAATAACAGAAATAAAATTTTGAAATTGAAAAATAAATGAAGAATAGTTACTTTCGTTGGGAACCATTACATAGTCTATTATCATGTGCTTTATCCACATTAAACTTGTAAGGTTAGTCTAGTGGGTTTTATCTTATAGGAGTAAGGTTAATCTAGTGGTAGAAACAAGGTTCATGACCTTCAGTTAGGAATCTTTATCTTTAATTTTGTTAATTGTTCTACGAGGATCAGCATGCTCAGTCAACAAGTCTAACTCTATTTGACATTTGGAGGAATAACAAGTGGAAGGGAATTCAGTTTCCAACAGATGCTAAAGAACATACCAAAATAACATAGGGTTTTCAATAGGGATGGCAACAAAACCCGAACCCATGGGTACCCACTGGATCCAACCTGGTCAACGCGGGTAAAATCCGTGTTGACGGGTTTTGGGCCGGGTTTGGGTTTAAACCCGTTCACTATTCATCGGGTTGGGTTGGGTTTGGGTTTAGGTAAACCCGACCCGTGGGTACCCGCCCACACCTATATAATTAATTTTCTCGGTATATTTAATATTCTAAGCAACTAATCTTATTTATGTTAGTGGAGACATGTCTAATTTTTTCTTTCTAATTGTGTAGAATTAAGTTGATATTATCAAGTAGAGAGTGAAAAACTTAATTGAAAGGAAGAAGCTTTCAATTAATCATGTTATTTATGGATAATTTGTGATTTGCTTCAATTTTCTTGAGTTTTCTAAATTGGTGTTGAAAAATTTGTATAGTTAATTTGTGATTTTCTTGAATTTTCTAGAATGGTGTTTTATATATGGATAATTTGTATTGAGAGATTGATATTTGACTTTAATTTTGACAGAAACTTGTTATTGTAAATTTTTACGACAAAAACCCGTGGGTACCCATGAACCCGCGGATACCCAGCGGGTTGGGTTGGGTTTGAGTTTTTCAAAACCAATGGGTTTTACCCCGGGTTTTTTTCAAGGATAAACCCATAGGTTTGGGTTTGGGTTTGGCAAAACCCGACCCAACCCGACCCATTGCCATCCCTAGTTTTCAATAGATGCGGAGTAGGATGAAAACAATTAAGCTTTAATTTGATAGGGTAAAATTTAAACTTTAAATATTTTTAATGAGTGCGTGACTTTTTCCACTATCCAACTAGAAACCTCTCAATTATACACATGGTTATTGATATAACTTATAAGGCTTTTGGGACACTGTGGGTGATTCAGTGAGTAAAGCGGTCTGCTCCTTTTTTTCAACATCAAGGTTGCTTCGGAGCTTTAATCACACCTGATTGACTTTGATACCGAAGGTGGATAATGTGGAAAACATGTGTCAACTCAGACCAATTAGCTTGTGCCAGTTTGTGTACAAGATTATAACTAAAATTATGTCGGAGCGGCTTGCTTGCCTCTTACCCACGATCATTTCGGAAGGTCAGAATGCGTTCATTCGGGAACGACAAATCGTTGAAAATGTCCTCCTAGGACATGAGTTAATGCATTACTTGAAAATCAAGAAGCAGGGGAAGAAAGGATATATGGCTCTAAAGGTTGACATGGAAAAGGCCTATGATAGAGTCGAATAGTCCTTTCTTCTCGGTGTTCTTGATAAGATGGGCTTTAACTCAACTTGGTGTGGGTGGATTAATGAGTGTCTTCGCTCGGCCTCTTTCTCTGTTATGATGAATGGCACCCCGTCAGGATATTTCACACCTACTAGGGGTTTGCGTCAGGGAGATCCGTTATCCTCGCTCCTATTTGTGATATGCACGGAAGGGTTCGCGGCCCTCATTAGGCAGGCCATTACGGCTGGGAAACTGGAAGGGATTAAGGTGCCCCTCGTGCTCCCCGTATATCCCATCTCTTTTTCGCAGATGATTCGTACCTATTTCTCAGGGGAACCCTTGAAGAATGTGAGAATTTGATTGAGGTGTTGAATGAATATGAAGAGCTAAGTGGACAGCGGGTTAACTTGGCCAAATCGGCAGTCTGTTTTAGTAAGAACATCTCTCCTCCGGACTCGGAATTCCTGGCGTAGATCATGGGGGTTTCGTCGCTTTGAGCATTTCAATTAGGCGCTTTTGGCAAAAATTGCCTGGTGCATTCTTAACGAGCCCCAATCGCTGCTACATCAAGTTAATGAAGGGAAATACTTTCCACGTGGATCGTTCCTCACGGCTGCGGCCCGCTCGCGGCCTTCCTGGGGATGGTAGAGCATTCTTTTTGGCCGGGACCTCCTTTTGTCGGGGCTTCGATGGCAGATTGGGAATGGGAAACCGGCCCCGTTGTTGGACTCTTGGTGGATACCTAGCCTACATCCTTGCCCCCCGGCTTATAATCCTTGTGTGCTGCCTCAGGAGGAGATCAAGGTTAGTGAGGTTATTTGTCAAGGTGAGGGTCGTTGGTGCGATGCCCAGTTGCAACGATGGTTTGACTGTAACACCCTGGATTTGGGTTAGGCATTTTTAGACATCTGTTTGTTGAGTGAGAAGGTTTATGAAAATTGCATCTAATGACGTTGGGGGATATGGAAAGTGAAATTGAATTTGTGGGCCACTTGGGGAATGTATTGGTCACGTGAATGCAAGGAAGTGCATGAGATGATTGGGTGGCTCAATTAGCAGAGGGAATTCGTGCATGGGGTTAAAGGAAAATCATAAATAAATTGCTTAAGGATTTAGTAGAATTCTAGGATGAAAGTGAGCAGTATAATGGGACTAATCTTTTGGGTGAGGTGAACTGGAACTTTGGCGGCGGGTATGATGTTTAGGCTTGGTGGTTTTGGAACCGATGTATGCCGAGAGTCCAAGTGGTTAATTGATGACCGATGTGTTTGTGCATAGCTTGAAGGGGTGCACACAATGCTCAAAGAAAGAAGAAAGTCGAGGTTGAATGTGGTAAAGGAAGGAATTAAATGGACCAAGTCCATTGTCTTCTTGTGATTGGGACTAGCAATGCTCGCCTGAAAGCATAGCATTAGGGGTGATCCGCGTTAAGGGTTCAGCAATTGATTACTAAGGTGAGTGTAAAGGGGTAAAATCTCCGTCGAGGTCTTTTAGTTTATGTCTTTTAATTCAGTTATGTTGGTTATTTTCAAGTAAGTGTGATTATGTGTGTGAGACATCTCACCGCCTACTTAAAGTAGAGGCACGAGTTGTGCTATGTATGTGATGTATGTATGTAAGATGAACCCCTGGGTGGTTGGACCACTACTGGACGCGGTAGATGGTCGGGTCACTACTGGACGGCGATACGTAACGCAGTAGTTACCAGGCATGGACTGGACGGCGATACGTAATGCAGTACCATTGCCTTGAGGATAGGGACACCGGACGGCAATACGTAACGCGGTGAACCCTAGTAATAAGTATATAAGTTAAGATAGAAGTACAGAACTTCTATAAGCTATCGAGGACTAAAATATTAAGGATAGAAGTTGAGGACTTCTATAAGATAAGATAGGAGTAAAGATATTCTATTAGTGGTGTTGAAATAAGTATTAAGGATGGAAGAGAGAACGACTTTCATCTAAGGAAAGGAAACACTAATAACGTGTTTTAGTAAGGAGTTTGCTTAGGGCAAAGACCTTAGGAAGTAACGACGAGACTGACCCCTTCTCACTCACCAGGTTGAGGAAGGGTTAGCAGAGGTGGATTCTGAGAAGAAGTAAGACGGGGCAAGCTGCCACAGCAGCATGGACGAGACCTCAAGGAATCAACAATGAGTTAGAGCTAGAGTTAGTTTAATTAATTTGTTAATGATTATGAGTTTATGTACTGGAGATTCAAGGTTCAAGATTCTGTGTTAAGTTGTTTTAAGTGTTTGAGATTGAGATTTTGCCCAAGTGTTGGGGCTTTTTGTTTAAAATTATGAAATTATGTCAGTTTGTTTATTTTAAAATGTGGTTTGGGTTGCTCCGGAGTAACCGGTTTTCAGTTTGAGTTATGTTTAGGTTTTCAAAAAAGATCGGGTCGTTTCATTGACCCACCTACAATCAGTGCAATTAAGCAAATCCCGCTCTCGCGGCAATCGGTGGAGGATAGGCTGATATGGCATGGGACGTCGGACGACATCTTTACGGTCAAATCGGCTTATCACTTGGTTGTTGATATAGCTCAACATAATGGGAAGTCGAAATCTATGGCTAGTTGGATGGATAGACCCAGTTGGATCTGTCTGTGGGACTCGAACATTCCCCCCAAGTTGAAGACATTTGCTTGGCAAGTCTTTAATTGGCTTCTCCCTACTACAGAGGCTCTGATTGAGAAAGAGGTATAGGTGCTCCCGCGGTGTCCGGTTTGCTAGGCTGCGTCTGAAACAATGGAGCATTTGTTTCTGGATTGTCCGGTGGCGAGGGCGTGATGGGATCATTCGGGGTTGGACCAATTGGGTCAGGCTTTGCCGCGTGACACGTTTCCCCTGTTCCTGAAAAAGTTAATGCTTTGGCTTAGGCAACCAAACCTTTTTCTCGTTGTTATAATGCTCTTATGGCATATCTGGAGATCCCGGAACTGGGTAGTTTTTGAGGGTAAACAATTTGGTATCCCGGCTTTAATGCGCCAATTTACCCAACAGTACAATGAATGGATTTCCTTGCCAAGAGATCGGGATGGTCCGTCTCAGTGTTCGCTTCCCCGAGCCATGGACTTAGGTAACCCGTCTGAGGTGGTTTGTCAATGGGATGGGGTGACAAAAGCTGGCTCTTATTCGGCTGGTGGGATGGTTACCTGTCAGCGGTTTGGGAGTGTTATTCGGGTTTTGGGGATTCATCTTCTTGATGTGGATGATCCAATGACGGTAAAGCTGCTTGTTCTTAGGGGGGTT